GGCACGTTCCCGCGGCCAGTGCCGCAGGCCTGCGCCAGGGAGGCCGGCCGAGGGGCCCTAGACGGAAGAAGGGGTCCCGGGGTCTCGGCCTGGGGAGGCGCGGTCACCTCCCGGGCTGGCACTCCGGGCTATGTCTGGCCCCGGCCGTGCCCGGCGGGCCCACAGGCCCATAGTTAAGGTGAGTCAGGTGCTCCAAGCAGGCGCGAGAGGGGCCACCGCACGGGCTGGTCATCCACCCCTCCAGGTTCCCTCCGACACCCAGGGAGGCTCAGGGAGGGCGGTCCGTCCCTCAGAGCCCTGTAGGGCTGGAGGGGGCAGTGAGCCTTTATCAAGGGCTCTCACGGAGCCCAGCACTTTGTGGGGTGTGCAGCCGGCATTCGCCCTGAAACTCGTTTTGCAGACCGTCCCGGCGCGGAGTAGAGACGCCATCCTGGGCGGCAGCTCCCATGGCCCATGCTGCTCTGCAGACTGCACCGAGGGTCGCTCCGGTGGCATTTGTCCCTCAGCCGGGAGCGTGAGGGTTGATGTGGTTGAAGGCAATAGCCGGCAGCACTGGGGCCCACACACCCCTGGTCCCAAGGTGCAAGGTGACGGGGAAGGGCACACCCAGGCCTGGCTGCCCTGAGTCTCAGTTCCCTCGTCTGGAAAATGGGGGCCCGTAACCCCACATACCAGGCTGCCTCTCAGAAGTGCACATGCTCACTCACACAGGCAGAGCCCTGGCGCCCCTGGGCAGGGCACAGCTTCCTGCACCCCAGCCAGGCAGGTGGGGGCCAGCTGGGCGTCCAAACCCAGGCCTCTGCTGGTGCAGAGCGGATTTCAGAACAATTTGTAATGATGAAACACCAGGGCTCCCTTTATCTCTGGGCAAGGCTTTCTCAGTTCAGGGCAATTAATCCAGGAGCAGCCTCAGCCGAGTGGGCACCGCTCCTTGAAGATCAAAAGTGCCCAGGCAGGCGTTAATTAAGTCATTATCTCAGGGTGCTCCAGGCCCCCGAGACTAGGGAGCAGGCCTTTCCAGTTCAGGCTCCCCAGAAAGGGAGCCCACCAGCAAGCAGGGGAGCCACTTACAGTGTTGTTTTTAACCCCTGTTAAATATTTTTACAAACATAAATGAAGTTTAGAGTAGCCCAGAATCGATCTGTAAAGATGAAGACCTATGTTACCGGGCACTTGGTGGTTTGAGGAATGAAGGCTGGACCTCTACAGTCCAGTACGGGAGCCACTAGCTGCGGGTGGCCGTTGAGCATGTGAAATGGGGCTGCTGCAGGTTGGGGTTTGCTGGGCGGGCAAAACAGCCTCAGAGGACTTAGTCTGAAAGTAAAGAGTGTAAAATTTCTCATTAGTAATGTTTATATTAGTCACCTGTTATAATGATAACACTTTTGAAATATTGAGTTAAATAAACTATGATTGCAATTAATTTCACCTGTTTGTTTTTCCTTAGTTTAATGTGGCTACTAGAATTTAAAATGCCATGTTGCTCCAATGTTTCTATATTGGACAGTACTAGTGTAGACACCCAGAGCTCACATCTACACGGTAGAGCCACCCAGGTGACTGCGTATGGGGGGTGAGCTGAGCTGCCTCCTTGGAGAAGCCAGCAGAATCCTGGAGACCAGCAGAATCCAGGGCTCAGGTCTCACAACTCCCAGCCTCAAGGCTGTGTGACCTCAAGCTGTTTAGCACTTTGGAGCCTCAGCCTCCTCACCTGGGTAACAGCCGGCTCAGAGGACTGCTTTCGGAAATGCTCACTCGTTCATTCAACAGACATGCATATGCCAGGCACTGTGCGAAGACGGCAACCACACTGATCTGGTGCCTTCACAGAGCTGCCGAGTATATACTATTTCAAGGGAAGGAATTGGGGTGGTCAGGGAGGCCTCTTTGAGAAAGCCAATTTCGAGACAATTTAGATGGAGCCTTCTAGGCAGAGATAACAGCAGCACGAGCAAAGGCCCTGGGGCAGCAACCTGCTTGGCTTGTTCAAGGAACAGGGGAGGGGGATGTTAGGAGGCGATGAGCTGGGAGAGGTAGGCAGTAGGACAGCTCACTTAGGCCATGAGCCCAAAGGAAGGAATTTGGATTTTATTCCAGAGGGATGGAAGCCATCTGGCGGGGGAAAGACAACCCGAGGTGGAGGAGGGGCCCTGGAGTAAGCATTCCTTTCCCAGAGCTGGTGCCAGTCAAAGTCAGAGCTGCCGGCAAGCGGCCACTGGGAGCCATTCAGGTGGCCATGACCCCACCCTGTGGTCCCACAGCTGGGCACCTGGCCCAAGAAATGGCCATATCCTCAAAGGGTTCAGAGCAGCACAACTTGAAGTTGAGAATGTTGGAAATCACCTAAACCCAGGTGTGAACAGACAGTCCCTTCACCCTTGTCCTGTTAGGAACTGTGTCCGTTTGAGTGACAGCTGCAAAGACAGTTTCCTAGGTGTGGATACCGAGGCTCGTTCACACCCGGCATCCCCAGGCCGAGTTCAGGTCCGAGTCTTCACTACGGGAAGTGGGTGTGGGCATCGGGCTGCTGGTCAGCTCCTCACCCAGTGTCCAGGTTTGTGATGTGTTATTATTTGTCTAAGAAACTCAGTCACTTCTATTTTAAAACCGACGTTGAGGTAACAGAAGCCATGTTACTGGGCTGGGAAGTGGCAGGTCCCCTCCGTCTTCAGGCTTGAAGTTCCCTCTGAGCCAACAGTGGTGCCCACGGCAGCCCTGGCCTGGGAGCTCAGAGGGAGGGGCTCAGGTGGGGTGTCCATGTCAGGGAAATCCTGGGTCAGGAGCCCGAAAGGAGGACCTCCACTCCCTGTCACGAAGAGAAGTCGCAGCTCACTCCACCCTCCAATTCTGTAGACATTAAGACTCTTAGTTGTGACAAGAACCTGACTCAAAGTGGCCAGAGGAAACAGAAGGCATTGGTCCAGGGAATGGCCAGGCTCTGCAGTGAGCAGCTTCAGGTGCGGCTGGATCAAGACCCAGCCCACGTCCTGGCTGGGTACTCAGCTGGTTAGAGTGTTGTCCCGATACGCCAAGGTTTCGGGTTTGATCCCTGGTCAGGGCACATACAAGAATCAACCGATGAGAGTGTAAATATATGGAACAACAAATTGATGTTTCTCCCTCTCTCTAAGTCAATCCATTTTTAAAAAGACACAACTCATGTCTTCAAGACTAGTCCTCGGACTTCATCTTCCACTCTCTCCACAGGGGAGACGGCAGCCAGCAGCCCCCCCCCAACGGCCTCCTGGATCGAACTTTTCAGAGCATCAAGGCTGCGTGTCACAGGCCCACTCTAGGGGACACAGTGCTCCCCGACTGGCCTGGCTGGACCAATGCCCAGGACCTGTTGGGTCTCCTCCAGGAGAGACCACCGCGCCCCGGCCAGCACTGAGAGGGAGGCGCTGGGATGCAGGGCTCGCGCTGTCCCGAGAGCCCTTCCTGACGGTGCCCTTCCTCTCTGAGGGCCGCCATCTGCCCCTTTGACCTTGACGAGGGGGTTTGGGCCCAGCTGAGGGCGAACTTGCCAGCCCTCCCTGCCCGCGACTGCTGGAGAAGCGTTTCCATCTGCGGCTGTTTTTCTCGACAGGAGGGAGCAAAGGGCGCCAGATAATCTTTTCCTTGTCCTGCCGTGACCCTCGGGCTGTGGGGTGGAGGCCAAGGCCTCCCGCAGCCCAGCGTCCCCCTGCGACAGTGCGAGGTGAGAGGTGCGTGGGTCCCTCGGCTTCCTGAGGGCCTACTACGCACCCACGGGGAGCATCGGGGGGCCCTTACGTTGTAGGCAGGACGGAGCCCAGGCCCAAGGCCCCGGGGAGCCGGTCCTGGCTTTGAGGGCAGCTCCACTGCTGCTGGCTGTGCAAGCTTTGGCAGGTGCTTCACCTCTCACGGGGTTGCTAAAGGTCTGCCTGAGACGTCTCAGCACAGAGCCCGGCCCAGCCGGTACAGACGCGCTTCCCTGGCCCCCTGCGGAGAGGACTCCATGCAGGGATGTCGCACACAGCAGGTGCTCAGTACACGCAGGGTCCACCCGCACGCAGAGCCCCCACAGCACTGGCGGCCTGGCCACGCCTGTCGGACGGGTTGGGGACACTCCTGTGGGGTCACCCTGGCCCCCGGCCACCAGTTGCTCCGCTCAAAGCCCTAGAGTGCAGCCCAGGTCACAATGCGCCCCTTACCCCGAGAAACCCGAAGTGGAACCACCCGGCACCCAGGACCCCAGCTCTGGTCACAGGGGCTATTCCTAGACCTGCTGACTCAAGTGCTGGTGTGTTGTCCACACACAGGGCCTGTCTCTCTCCTGCTCTGACGGCCCTGAGACACATTCATCCAACAACACACATTTACTGCGTCGTGGGGGACCCAGCATGAGCCACACTGACCCTGCCCTCGCAGCGCTGACGTGAGCGGGGCTCACCTGCCTGTCTCAGCCAGGCGCTCTCGGCCTCGGGGGACTGGACTGGCCGATGCAGCGAGCCCAGGGCTTCAGGGGGGGTCTGATTAAGGGTTCTGCTCTGTGTCAACACGGTCCTCTTCATAGCAGCCTCTTTTGGCTGATTCCCTCATGGTGACAAGACAGTTGCCAGACACCACTCGTCTTCCCCGTTCCCACTGAGCCAGGAAAAACAACACTCTCGAAGGCTTTCTCTAGAGACAAGGAAGCTTTCTCAGACACTGCCCTTGACCAGGACGGCTCTGCTGCCCATTCCTGCGCCCAGCCCACTGCCGATGGTCAGAGTCTCCGAGCTCGTGAGGCTGAGGCCTCTGGCTGACGCAACAGCAGCATCTGACCCAGAGGTCACACCCTCCTCCTGGACACGGTCATTCGCCGGCTTCCAGGATCCCCACTTGCTGATTTTCCGAGTCCTCCCAGGCTGCTCGGTCTCCCCTCCATGGGGCTCCTTCACCCTGGTGAGCCCAGGGCCCCCTCCTGTCCCCTCTCCCTCCCTGGGTGCGTGCACTGGTCTCACAGCTGCCATGGCCTCTGGGCTGACGATTACGCAGCAGGACCTCAAGCCCAGACCTCTGTGAGTCCAACCATCCACCCAGCACCTTGACCTGGTATCCAACAGACTCGTCAACCTTAACACGACCAAGACAGACCCCCGGCATGCTGCATCCTGGTCCTGGGACCCCCGACACCCCTTGTCCTCTGGCCACTCGGCCCAGCATCTCAGAGCAAGCTTGGAACCTCTCTCCCAACATACTGTGCCTCCTGTCGGGCAGGAAACCTGGTTGACTCACCCCTCAGTGTCTCCAAACCCTGACTTGTCCCCCTAAAGTCCCCACCCTTTCCCTTTCCCCTGCAGTCTGCTCTCAGCAGGACAGTGATCCGTCCATCAGCCCAGGTCCTCCTCTACTCCCAAGTGACCCAATGGCTCTGGGATGGGGATCCACCAGAAGATGCCCGAAGGGCACCACCCTCGTGAAACTAACGGCCAGGCGATGGGGACAGGCTCCTGCCAGCACCCTCCCTCGCCATGAGCCTCCCCGAATTGCAAAGCGTTTTCCTGGCAGATAACAGATAACAGGTTATCAATAATTCTGTGTCCCACCAGGCTCCCATGGCAGTGCTGACGTGGGCAGAAAGCAGACGCAGCCACTGGGGCCCAGGATCGCTTCCATTAGCAACCTCAGGCTCTGGCCCCAGCCCAGCTGCCTCTCATGAGTCTGGAGTCAGGCCGCCCACTCTCAAAGCCCTAGTGGCCTCCACTCGAGGAGCTCCTTCTGCAGGCTGCAGGGTCACATGAGACCAGGCGGCTGGGTCCATGCGGCCAGACTGAGGCCTCAGGTGTCAAGGTATGACTAGCAAAGACCCCAGAAGCAGCACGGCTGGGGGATCCTGGACCAGGGCAGTTCAGCCCCCAACAACCAGGTCCAACTTCAGGCTCTGTTTCTTTCTAGCATGTTCCATGGAAAAGTCATGTGACGACTCTGGACCTCAGTTTCCAGCGGTAATGACAAGGAACCCCAAGACTGAGAGACTAAAGCCACAATGAAAGTGGACCACCCCCCATTTCTGAAGGTCAGGAATCAGGAGCGGCTGGGCCAGGTGGCTTGTCGGTGAAGCCGGGGAGGCCAACAGGAAGCGGGGACTTGCTGCCCAGGTGGCTCCCCAACAGCTGTGGAAGGGAGGCCTCTGTGCCACTTGGCCTGCTTGCCTGTCCTTACAACAGGGCACCTGGCCTCCTCAAGAGCCAAGGTGTCCTTGATGGCCTGTCCTCAGCGTCCCCACAGCATTCCACTGTCACTCAGAGCAGACTTGCTCCCCAGGGGAGGGGACAGCCAAGAGTGGAGGTCACTGGGGCCCATGGGGGAGGCTTGGCACAGGCGTCCCCCTGGCCTCTCAGGAGAAGTTCTGTGGCCTGAAGACCTCCCGGCCTCCAAGAAGCAGCCCCTGAGTCTTCTGATGGGGAGGAATCGGTGAGTAGGGGCCTGGGCTGGGCCTTTTTCAGTGAAGGGACTCGTTCCTTCTGGTGGTACATGTGTGGAGGGGCCTGACTTATCACTTCCCTGAAGGGTCCCTCCAACACCTACCCACCCAGCTCCGAGGGCCCACAGCCCACCCCGTTCCAGCTCAGGGAGAAGGGAGCTCCCTGCACTCCTGGCCTCCTCCCAACCAGCCAGGGCGGATGAGACTCCACCTTCAGAAGGCAGCCTGCGGCTGAGCCCAGGCCAGGCCTCACCACGTCCTAACCCACGGCGCCTCCGCTGCGTCAGCTGAGAAACGGGTGACGACACCAAGGGTGTTGCAGGTAAGTCACGGCAGCACCCAGAGGGCATCTGGTGCGTAGAGGCCACCAAGATACCCAGGGCTTGTCAGTTCCCCACAGCAAAGCCTGGCAGCCCCACTCAGAGGTCAGGCCGCCCAGGTAGGTGCTGGGAACTCCCCCGCCCGACCCAGAGGAAACCCTGCCACGCCTCCCAGCCAGCGAGAGTGGACACCCACGAGGCCCGCCTTAGTGTCTGAGCTGCCACAGAGCAGGACCGGAGAAGGCCCACCTGGACCCTGCCCACGACTGACGGGAAGGAAGCCAGGCTCCCCAAGGGCACCTCTTGGTCCAGGGGCCAAGGAGGAATCTGAGAAGGCTTCAAGGAGGAGGAGGCTTTTGAGCGGAGCCTTGAAGGATGGCAGCCAGCATGGGGCTCCCCGGGCCGGGAATTTTCCTTCCAGCCTGGGCCCCACCCGTCTTATCTCCCTCTCGGGGAAGCGGGTCCCAGGGGCCTTCCCGCGAAGGGCAGCTCACCCTCCCCCGCCTTTGCCGCGGGGCTATGTCACCCGTCTGGAATGCACTTTCCATTCCTCCGCCGCCCCTCCCCCTCTCCCACCTCCTCTCACCCCTTTTCCTTCCCCTCTCCTCCCCCTTCTGTCTTAGTCCTGGTCCTCT